GCCCTAAGTAAGTAATATATTCGGAGTGATGGCCCTAAGTAAGTAATATATGTGGAGTTATGGCCCTAAGTAAGTAATATATTCGGAGTGATGGCCCTAAGTAAGTAATATATGTGGAGTGATGGCCCTAAGTAAGTAATATATGTGGAGTGATGGCACTAAGTAAGTAATATATGTGGAGTTATGGCCCTAAGTAAGTAATATATTCGGAGTGATGGCCCTAAGTAAGTAATATATGTGGAGTGATGGCCCTAAGTAAGTAATATATGTGGAGTTATGTTCCTAAGTAAGTAATGTATGTGGAGTGATAGCCCTAAGTAAGTAATATATGTGGAGTTATGTTCCTAAGTAAGTAATATATGTGGAGTGATGGCCCTAAGTAAGTAATATATTCGGAGTAGTGTTACTAAGTAAGTAATATATGTAGAGTGATGGCCCTAAGTAAGTAATATATGTGGAGTTATGTTCCTAAGTAAGTAATATATGTGGAGTGATGGCCCTAAGTAATATATATATGTGGAGTTATGGCCCTAATTAAGTAATATATTCGGAGTGATGGCCTTAAGTAAGTAATATATGTGGAGTGATGGCTCTAAGTAAGTAATGTATGCGGAGTGATGGCCCTAAGTAAGTAATATATGTGGAGTTATGTTCCTAAGTAAGTAATATATGTCGAGTTATGTTCCTAAGTAAGTAATGTATGTGGAATGATGGGCCTAAATAAGTAATATATGTGGAGTGATGACCCTAAGTAAGTAATATATGTGGAGTTATGTTCCTAAGTAAGTAATGTATGTGGACTGATGACCCTAAGTAAGTAATATATGTCGAGTTATGTTTCTAACTAAGTAATATGTCTTGAATGGTGTTCCTAATTAAATAATATATGTGGTGGAGTGATGTTTCTAAGTAAGTAATGTATGTGGAGTGATGTTCCTAATTAAATAATGTATGTGGAGTGATGGCCCTAAGTAAGTAATATATGTGGAGTGATGTTCCTGAGTAAGTAATATATGTAGAGTGATGGCCCTAAGTAAGTAATATATGTGGAGTGATGGCCTTAAGTAAGTAATATATATGGAGGGATGTTCCTAAGTAAGTAATATATGTGGAGTGATGGTCTTAAGTAAGTAATATATATGGAGGGATGTTCCTAATAAGTAATATATGTGGAGTGATGGCCCTAAGTAAGTAATATATGTGGAGTGATGGTCTTAAGTAAGTAATATATATGGAGGGATGTTCCTAAGTAAGTAATATATGTGGAGGGATGTTCCTGAGTAAGTAATATATATGCAAGAATCCGCTGAATAACTTGGACATAACTGTGTAGCTATATAAAAAGAAATATTTAGTATCATGCTGTTTTGATTTCAATATCTACAGAGAAACTAAAATTTAATTTGGTGTGAATTATACGTTATAAATTCTATAAAACATAGAGATTCTTTAGTCTTTTACAGCTATAATATATATCAACCACATATGATTTTTAAGTACATAAAACATACATGCATCTCTGTATATTAATTTCTTTATATATACATATATGGAAACACGCATAACCCAGTATATATATAGAAACACGTATAATGAAGTAACTGAATACAGTGAGCTGAGCACATTACACTTAAATACAAAAGTAAATCTGGAATTAAGTTCACACTATGTAGACAGAAATGACGATCAATTACTTGAAAAATGTAATTAAAAGTTTGTTATGAATGAGCAATGAGCCCAAACTTAGAAAATAATTGTTTTTGATTACGTGTTAAAATTAGTGTGAATATATGTTTTAAAGACTTATCGTGAGAAAGAGTAAGATTACAGTTTGAAAAGCTGAATTCGAAATCCACTAATAATGTATTATGTCACAATTAATTAATCAGTCTGAGAAATTATGAATCATTCTGTAAATAAATGTTGAGTTGTAAATTTAACTATAAATATATACATATTTTCGGCAGGCATGACTTTCTTCAATAGATTTATTAATTCATTTGGTGGAGTGAAAGTCACAGGATGTTATTGATGTTCAATGGTAAAATGGAACCATGTTCGAGATGTTTTGCTTTCTCTGATTTGGATGATTCGGATCAGTCTAATTGATATGGATAACAAACCGGTTGTTCATCGAGATTTACACCCAAGAAACCGTGTAATATTCGAGAGATATGAGAAGTATCGGAAAATTTTGCTGTTCGGAAATAAAACTGAAAGTATATTTACAAACATCAAGATCTCAAATTTTGCGAAAATGAAGATTTGATTTTATCATACCCTAATTGTTTTATCGTTGAAATCCATTCAAATCATTAACTGTGTGTACTTACCTGCTTATGCATTTCTACGTTCAATCCATACGACATCTCGTAATACTAGAATATGAACAAAAATAAGTCAGTTAACTTATAAAAAAATACAAGTAAGTAACAAAAGCATTTCAAGCCATCAATAAGAAGGACACGGATAAAAATTAACTCGTGTGATGTAGAAAGTAGTGACTGAATAGAGCGTGGATGAAATGCTGAGAATATTTAACTCTTTATGATAATCTGTGTCGAGAGTATACTTTAGTTCCCGAAGAAAAGTGTTTTTTTATTATCTTACCGAAGAATGTAGTAGAGAAAGGATAATAAAAAAATCAAAACTAAGTACATGAGCGCCGAAGAGATCCTACTGGATCTATGGTAAACTTCATACCACTTTATAGTGTAACTTTAAATTATTAGACAGGGTAATTAATCTATAGGGCTTTCCAAAATATACATAGACACCCTTAAAGATGCAATATTGATTTAGTGTTTCTTGATTGGATTTGATAATCTTTAAGTCTATCCAAACTGCACGCGACGTATTAAAGATGCAATATTGATATAGCGTTTAGTGATCAGACTGGATAATCTGAATGGCTTTCCAAAATACATGAAAATCTCTAATGGTGAAATATTGTTGTAGTATTTAATGATTAGACTAGACAATTTATAGAGCATTCCAAAATATACGCAGACGTCTAAAGGTGAAATACTGTTGTAATGTTTAGTGGTTGGACAAGACGACTATGGAGTTCCAATATACAATAAATCTTTCAAAGTTTCAAGATGTCTTCGATGTATAGTAATTGGATAAGATGATCTATCGTAGACTAATACGGTGTCATATCGCAGTTACACTTGGTTACATTATAGTTACCATCTTTGTATCAGGTCGCCCATAGAGTCACACATGAAATTAAACTTAGTGTCATGGTACGTATTATACGGTAGAGACTATCTATCAGAATACCTTATAGCATCACAACATTGCACGTTCAGTATATAGTAGCACTTACTATAACTAGTGGCCCTGTATTATATTATTTACAGGTTAATATTGTACTTAAAGTTGTTCTCTGTATCAGATTAACCAAAGTTTTACGAAGTTTCAGACGTTCGAAAGTGCAATTAAACTTAATAACTTTATACTTACCATAACGTAATGCCGCTGCATTTCTGTCTTTTCGCTTGCCAGTTTTTCGAAATTCATTTTTAGGCTACAAAAAAAAACAGGAAAAAACTTGTAAGTTATATGATATTAGTGCTCTTTTTTAAAGTATTGGACTTTTTTTGAGTGAAGTTTTAAAATTGTAGCCTCTTGATGTGAGTTTTTATCATTTTTGAACTTCAATATCCTTTTTAGGAAAACAAAATCATTCATTGCATAATTGTGAATTAAAACAGAATATATATATATGAAAAATAAACATCACTGGTAACTTTGAAAATTCATAATTACGAACTGGAACGAGAAGAAATGAATTTTATGTGAAACCATACAAAAATGCGTCGTGCTCTACGCTTTCAGGAACTACATTTCAAAATTACCATGTATGGAATTTTATAATTTCTAAACAAATTCAATTTAAAATGAAATATTTATTTATGTTAGAATAAAGTATTTGCTACTGAGTTTTTACCATTTTATAGACCACTACCTTATCTCGGTTTAAACCATCTTTCTAGGGCTCGGTATCATATAAGCACTACAAGAAGGCAGAAGGTGTTTGGTTGGATTGCACCCTATTCACAGGTAGAAAGTACGGTAATGAACGCGGTGTTTGTTTCAAAGAAGTGATGTCTGTGTTGTTGAACAAGGAAGATGACCGAAGTCATGCCTTTGAAATCAATTTCGGAAAAACACAAGTATATGGTGAGTTTCTGTGTTATCGTCTTAAAAGGGTACTTATGCATTAGGGTAGAAATGCAGCATTGAGTGGTGAGAATGATCGGCAAGAAGATTTAAATCACTCTGGATAATTCATCTTTCTAAAGGAATAAATTAACTCAAACCTTACTCACTCTGGATAATTCTTCCTTCTGAAGGAATAAATTAACCCAAACCTTACTCACTCTGGATAGTTCATCCTTCTAAAGGAATAAATTAACTCAAACCTTACTCACTCTGGATAATTCTTCCTTCTAAAGGAATAAATTAACCCAAACCTTACTACAAGAACTTTCCACGTGTCGCTACATCATCCCTGCAGCTTACATATTTGCAACAAAAGAAGCAAGACTAACCCCTTTTATAGGTTTCACTATGACACTACTCTGTCTTTAGTACACTTTGTACTATGGACAAATGAAGCCATGCTTTTTTGTTCACATCAGGGATAAGCTGTTTCTGTACTTGTTGTATCTGCATGATACAATTAAATATATTCAAATGTTGACTACTAATACTGAGTCGGAGGCCTGTTGCACTTTATAAGCTTGTCTAATCGACTTTTCCTTTCGTCTGTTACTAGTAGCTAGCAGCCACAGTTTTACTTTGACTGACATATTCCTCCCGATGGCATTATTGGCAGAATCGAACGACAGATGATCAAAGAACAATTCCTTGATGAAGCTGCTTCTCTGGACGAGAAATCACATCATCGAATTTCAGAGAAATCCTTGTTATGGTGCTAAATACATGCAACCATGTGGAGTATTATTCAAATGTTTGCGTGTGTGTGTGTTCGGATCAAAATGAAGTGGCCACTTAGTGTACGCTAATTGAGAACAACTAAAAACTAAAGAGCAATTTAACGTTTATCACATCAGCGGAATCTATTGTTTCAGAAACATTTCATCGTGCTTTTCATTTTATATTTACCAATGATATCAAAGTAAAGTGAATGAGGTAAAAATATGTTTCTCATATATACTTAAATTTCTAGACAATTCCTCAAGCGATAAACAATTAACGTTAACCGTGCCTGTACGTTTGCTAGACTATACCTTACTACAAAAATATTTCAATAATGAGAGTTTTAAGCTTGTAAACATTATATTTTATTAACAACACCTGTAAGCTAAGAAAATTAACGACTTGTTCGTCAACAATACTCGAAAATCTTTGAATGTTACGTCTTAATAAATATACTTGTACATCTAGGAAAGCCTTAATTAGTTATTCAGGATATAGAAGTAATGAAAACTTTAATAGCAACATCCTGCCCTCTGAAACTAAAGATCTTTCAATAAAGAAAACAGAGGTCGAACGGGAATCAAAGTTACTAATCTGATAAAAAAAATGTATAATTTAGTAGCTAATACTGTTTGTATACAACGTCTATATGTTTTTAAACAGTAAATTATACTAGATTAAATATCAATATATTATAGTAAATTGAAAAACAACGATTTGTAAGCATAAAAAAATGTTTTATTTTAGGGGAAAATACAACATGTTTCGACAGAACATTGACCTACCTTCTTCAGACAGAACAACCGTACATTGCTAAACAGTACACTATATACTCACTACAACTCCCATACGTTGCTAAACAGTACACTATATACTCACTACAACTCCCATACGTTGCTAAACAGTACACTATATACTCACTACAACTCCCATACGTTGCTAAACAGTACACTATATACTCACTACAACTCCCATACGTTGCTAAACAGTACACTATATTAACTGGAACATCCATACACTGCTATACAGTATACTATGTTCATTAGAACTTCCATACGTTGCTAAACAGTACACTATATTAACTAGAACATTCATACACTGTTAAACAGTATACTATGTTCATTAGAACTTCCATACGTTGCTAAACAGTACACTATATTAACTGGAACATCCATACACTGCTAAACAGTATACTATGTTCATTAGAACTTCCATACGTTGCTAAACAGTACACTATACTCACTACAACTCCCATACGTTGCTAAAACATCCATAGGTTGCTCAACAGTACACTATATTAACTAGAACATCAATATACTGCTAAACAGTATACAATGTTCATTAGAACTTCCATACGTTGTTAAGCAGTACATTATACTCACTACAATTACCATACGTTGCTAAACAGAGCTTTAGACAAATCGTACCTGAAGGTCTATAACACCCACATGTTGCTAAACAACACACTGTATTAACTAGAACATCCATACATTGCTAAGCAGTACTTTATGCTAATTGTATCTGTACGTCTATAATATCCATACATTCTTAGTCTAGTCAATAAGTTATACAAAATCTACCTGCGCATTTGAAATATCCAAATATTACTACACAGTAAAACATTATATCCAACTGACCATTCCTTACCGCTAAGAAATCCTTAACATGTTAAGCAGTGTACTTTAAAAAATCTGAATATTTCCTATACCGTAAGACTGACCAAGAACTTACAGATATTATGATGACGAAAGCTGTAATATTAATGCAATATTTGACCAAACAATATGGTCGCTAGCTCTTATGTGTTATTATAACTAAAATACCGAGAAGAGTAAGACATTATTTCAGATAACCTAAAACTGTAAATCAGTAAACCGATTATTCTTCTGTACACACTTAGCCTTTATTCTGGCCTTATTGTTCTGTAACATTGTTTTACAGCATTGTGATTTTGAAATTTAGAATTCTTGGAAACTTTACAACACACACACAAGTAACTAACATGCTTATAGGAATTAGTATTATTTCAAACCTCATCATTCTGACGAAGACAAAACTGGAACATCGATATTTAAAGATTGTTTTAAATCTTTTATTTACAGGTACACTGTCCTCTAATAAGAAATTATCTTAAAATTGCCAACTGTTCTGATGCTAACTGGAAACTATACGATGAATGTAACAATTACGTGAATTAAAAAATGTAGCAAGAGTTCTATAAGACAAAAAAAAAAGGTTTTGGGAGAGGTCATGTAATTCTTACAAGTTACAGCATGTATTAAGTTATGTAATCGATGCTCATTAACTAATTCAAGTCTCCATTCACACACTAACCTGTGATACTGAGCTTGGAGGTAGTTGAATTCTTCCTTGATTCTCTCGCACGTATCACCAACAGTAAATTTAAAAGACTGTCTGCTAGGCTGTGGGGCTGAACCCTGAAACAAGACGAATATAATGTTGTTTTCTCAATAAGTTTATTGTTCTGTATTTTTCGGAACTACTTTCTTTTCGGAACTATTTTCTCAGTCTTCAAGATGTGGTAAAGTTCAAATTTAAACTAGCTATGTATTCAATACTATTTGTAACCGCCTACCAAACAACGGATGTTTGGAGCAATTTTAAGTAATATTTGTATTCCGACATCTAATAATTTGTCCAGTAGTGTCCTTGCAAGTTGCATGATAAATTGTATTTAGAAATATTGGTTATTTTTTGTAAATTATATTCATGTTCTCGGTCTTAGATTTGAAATTTATCATTCTTTTGAAAATTGTATGATATTTTTGACTCAAACTAATTATTTTATTTCATTCTAATATCATAATGTTGAAACGAATATTCAATAAAATTCACTTATAGTTTAGTTCAATAAAGTCACTATTATATATATATTCACGCTTATGCACAAAATATACTCTTTAGTAACTCATATACATAACTGGTTATTAGTTAGTTCTTAATGTTTGACCAAAATAAGAAAAACATGTCTGTTCTACGAAGCTTCATTGCCTATCTGTTTACAACTTATGTGTTTTTTTATCTTCATATAGCTTTTTTATGATGCACATGGTAACAACAGCAGGGAAATCAAACAGACGGAAAACTTGCGTTTTCAGATGCCTTCAGAGCAGGAAGTTCAAATTACTTTTCCTGTTTAGTATTCGGTACTAAAATAGAACAAAAGTAGAGTGCCATCTCTATAATGAATCAAATAACAGTATTTCTTTTCATGAATGAGCTAACAGCACTGTTTCTCTAACGAATTAGATAACGGTACTGTTTTCATTCATGAATCAAATTACAGCATTCTTTCTATCACGAATCATATTATATCACTCTTTCTATCACGAATAAGCTAAAAGTAATTTTATAATGAATCAGATAACAGTACTCTTTCTATCATGAATTAAATTATATCACTCTTTCTATCACGAATCAAATTACAACATTCTTTCTATCACGAATCAAATTACAGCACTCTTTCTATCATGAATCAAATAACAGTAATCTTTCTATCATGAATAAGCTAACGGTAATTTTTATAATGAATCAGATAACAGTACTCTTTCTATCATGAATTAAATTATATCACTCTTTCTATCACGAATAAAATTACAGCACTCTTTCTATCATGAATCAAGTTACAGCATTCTTTTATCATTAATCAAATTACAACACTCTTTCTATCATGAATCAAATTACAGCACTCTTTCTGTCATGAATCAAATTACAGCACTCTTTCTATCATGAATCAAATTACAACACTCTTTTTATCATGAATCAAATTACAGCACTCTCTCTATCATGAATCAAATTACAACACTCTTTTTATCATGAATCAAATTACAGCACTCTTTCTATCATGAATCAAATTACAGCACTCTTTCTATCATGAATCAAATTACAACACTATTTTTATCACGAATCAAATTACAGCACTCTTTCTATCACGAATCAAATTACAACACTCTTTTTATCATGAATCAAATTACAACACTCTTTCTATAATGAATCAAATTACAACACTCTGTCTATCATGAATCAAACTACAACACTCTTTCTATCATGAATCAAATTACAACACTCTTTCTATCATGAATCAAATTACAGCACTCTTTCTATCATGAATCAAATTACAGCACTCTTTTTATCATGAATCAAATTACAGCACTCTTTCTATCACGAATCAAATTACAACACTCTTTTTATCATGAATCAAATTACAACACTCTTTCTATCACGAATCAAATTACAACACTCTTTTTATCATGAATCAAATTACAACACTCTTTCTATCATGAATCAACTTACAGCACTCTTTTTATCATGAATCAAATTACAGCACTCTTTCTATCGTGAATCAAATGACCACACTCTTTCTATCATGAATTAAATTATATCACTCTTCCTATCACGAATCAAATTACAACACTCTTTCTATCACGAATCAAATTACAACACTCTTTCTATCATGAATCAAATTACAGCACTCTTTCTATCATGAATCATATTACAACACTCTTTCTATCATGAATCAAATTACAGCACTCTTTTTATCATGAATCAAATTACAGCACTCTTTTTATCATGAATCAAATTACATCACTCTTTCTATCATGAATCAAATTACCACACTCTTTCTATCACGAATCATATATCACTTTTTCTATCATGAATCAAATAACAGTAATCTTTCCATCATGAATAAGCTAACAGTAGTTTTTATAATGAATCAGATAACAGTACTCTTTCTATCATGAATCAAATTATATCATTTTTCTATCACGAATCAAATAACAGTAATCTTTCTATCATGAATATAATTAAATATTTCCTTTTTATCCCGAAACAGAATAAGTTTGTATGTTCAACGGAATTCAAATTTACAACATTCTATTTTAAATCCTTTTTATATTGTTACTGGGTAACTTCTCAAAGAAATAAGAATATTATCCTGACCTTAACTTCCTGATAGCATACAAAATATTACATATCGATTCTCAAGTATCTATTTCTGATAATGTATAGAACAGTTTCCAGACTATCACTGAACGTTTCGCGTTTCTAAAGAACTAGATTAAAATGGGCAACGAGGAGAAACGAAACTAACAGATACCTAGAACTTTGTAAATTAACAGATCACTTTCATCCAATGATTATAATGCTTTTCCAAGTGATTATTTTGACATACACTTCACAATATTTACAGTAAATACAGATATAAGTATATATACGCCGCTGTCATCTTATCCCATAAATCGCTTTCATTTTGCAAAGTGTCGGTTTTAGGCATTCATCACTCAAGATCAGAAGTCAAGCACTCTGTGGAATATCAACACAGTTTCGCTCGTAATGGGATACCATTGCTCGTTAAGTGCAATAAAAAGTCACGAGTATCAACGACCTGAGTAATATAAACATTAAACTAAAATAATATGAATACACACTATGGATTAATTCAAGTACTCTGATACTTCCGGATATTAAAAAGCTAGGTTGTTAAAAGCAGGACAGCATGAAAAATAAGACTCACCATGATTAGCACGTGCTATTCTGTGTAATTTAATCACGCGAAACATGCTCACGAATGGATATCATGGCTTAGTTTAGAAACACAGAAAAAAAAAGTAAATACTATGATTCGCCTTGATAAATGCTCGTCTCTTTATAGTTCACATCCTTCAATTTTAGTTTGTCAAGATTATCTTAAAGTTTAAAACTGTATTTATTATCTCTATATCTGTAATATTTTGCGTGAACCAAAACTGGGAAAACAGTTTAATTATGACCAGGAAATGCTTTTTGTTTTCCTGATAAGGTAAAGATGGAATAGATATTCTTCTTCGCAACGTGTGTTTGTAGTTAAACACAAAGCTATACAAAGGGTTGTCTGTGCTCAGCCCAACACGGGTATCGAAACCCGGTTTCGATACGTTGAATGCCCACAGACTGTGCCACTGGGGGGCTTCTCCGTAACGACTTTAATCCCAATTAATTTGGGGTCGGCCGGTATTTTTGTAAACCAAGAATGTTTACACCCGAGTGGCCGGCCCAGACAGCAACCATATAGGACGAGAATGCTCGGCGACGGGGTTTCGAACTCGTGTACCTCGATTGCGAGTCGTGCGCCCTAACTACCACGCCGTGTCAACCCCGAAGACGAAATAAATGCCAGTTAGAAAAGTTTAAAAAATGGAAAATATAGTTTATTTTTCAATACCATAAAGCTTTTACTCTTAAAGGTTAAATTTAGAAAACGGAAATTTTAATAGATAATATTATATATGATGTTTTATTTTTCGTGAAGAAAGCTTACATTGATAGTATCAAACATAGTTTCCACAAAGTCAGCTTTGAGCAATAATATTCATTTAATTAGTTCAGCCAGGATTAAAGAGTTAACACAGAGGACCACACAAAAAAGTCAAACGGATTTCAAAAGACTCACAATGGGAGTAGCGTGTAATAATTAAATCTATACAAGGTGTTACAAAGTTCAATGGAATAAGTCTTTGTTGGTCATTATGTGCAATTACACAATGCTTGATTGTAAATGTGTTCTGATAATCAGCCTCAGGGTTTTGTTAAGAAAAACTCAAGGTAGTACGGTCACCTTCGATAAAAAACGACCACCTTTGTATATTATTAGTTATGACGTGTGACCCCGTGCATAAACATACCGGTGCGAATGTGAATGATAAATGCGCGACTAATTTTTTTCTTTTTTAACAACTTTGGTCAAAGGGAATACTCTTAATTTTTTATGTATATAAATTAGATATTTCTGGTATTTCACTTTGTTGATTTCGGACAATGGGGATTTATAGACAGGCAAATATACTGTAAAAAAACACACACACTGATTTTCGATAGCGTGCTATTGTTTTACGATAAGTGGCTTAGGATAAGAAGCTGCCTAGCCGTGGGGATGTGGCCGTTTTATCCAACACTTGCACTCATGTAAGTTTTTGTATTTAGGTTTAATTTTTTTGGTGCCATTGTCCTAGGTAATCCGTATGGTGCCGAGAACGTTTAAATTATGAGTTAAGTGACTTAATTGCAGCATATATTTTAAGTTGTATTTTTTGTGAGTTAGATGGGGCCAATTATCCCCATCATAGGGGGATGGGTCCGTATTATCCATCTTACAGGTAAAATGGCCCACAACCACAATTAATCAACCTTTTCAACATCTAAAAAGATCTATTTCCATTTTAACTAAAAATGACGTAATTACAAAGAGTAATTTTAAAACTATATGCTTTTTTATTATATTCATCTTAATTGGTGAAAATCATATTCAAAACTAAGATGGCCTTATTTTCCCACCTGCCACTAAATTGTGCTACTTACATGATGTTCATTTTAACACAGTCTATTTGTAGCAGCACACTATTCATGAAGAGTTTCTCATACATTGCTAATAAATATTATGTAAACTGATTATAAGTCGGCGATGATTTTATTCTCTTGAACGTTTTACATGTTCTATGGTAATTCCTGTAAGCAGAATACGAAAATGATATCCATTTTTTTCTCCATCACATACAGACTTTTCATAAAAAATCAAAATTTTGTTATGCTTAAAATGTTGACAACCACTGGCTAATGATTTCTCTAGACTAATCGCGACGTAAGAGTCCTATCGATCGTTCTAGAACCCACGAGAAACACACCGCTAGTATATTAACCGTTAACAAGCCGCATGACGTGTCATTTCTGGATAGTATTTGTTTATAGGTGCACTTTGAAATTATTTTTTCTTTTCAATATTATTTATTTGTCGTTATGGCAACAATAAGTTGTGTAAATGGCCCAAACATATTCTATTATATTTGTGGAAAATTCGTTGTAAAGAAACAAAGGCAAAACATTACAGAATTCGTCAAAAAAAGCGTAATACTCGTATTTTGGAATAAAACTTGGGTACCAAGACAAATCATGGGCCCCGCACAATGTTTGCACCATTTTTGTCGAAGAGTTGAGACAGTGAACTAAAGGTAAGAAAAAGTAGTTGCCTTTTGGAATTCCAGTGGTCTGGCATAAACCTAGAAACCACAGAGACGGGCAAGGCTACAGCACTCGAAATAAAAGGAAATTTCTTACACGAACCTTCAATCTGCTATAAAACCTGTTGCTCATAGACCTTTTGCACCTGTACCTACTCCAACGGAGACTCTTGATACAATTTCGTCTGATTCTGATGTAATAGAATGATGATAGAGATTGTTTTATACCTGAAACGTCTGGTGAACCATAACTTTTCACACAAGGTAAATTTGATGATTTGGTTAGAGATTTGGGCCTTCCAAAGGATTTTTCAGAGATTTTGGGGTCCAGACTTCGAGCTAAGAATTACTTTCTACAGAGATATCATTTTACTGGTAAAATCGTGAGAAAGAGTTTATACCATACTTTTCGCAAGAAGGTTCACTAATTTATTATAACAATATTGCTGAATTAATACCAATGCAAGGAGCTGCAGTCTGTCAACCAAGTGAGTGATGATTGCTCATTGATTCTTCCAAAAGATGTCTAAAAGGTGTTTTCCTTCACAATGGTAACATATATGCATCTGTTCCTATTGCTCATTCGGTGAACGTACAAAAATCTCGAACTTCTTCTTAATAAGGTCAAATACAAAAAAACATGGTTGGCTATTTTGTGGATTCTTAAAAGTCCTTTGTATGTTGTTGGGTCAATAATCCAGTTATAAAAAAGTTTCCATATTTTTTGTGTGAATGGGACAGCAGAGTACGAAATCAGCACTGGATAAAAAAGCAATGGCTAGGCAGAATCAGCCTGATACCACGATCGAAATACATTGAACGTGAAAGTTTGGTTGACACAAAGAATGTCCTATTACCTCCACCTCACATAAAACTGGGCTTGATGAAGCAGTTTGTAAAGGCCTTAGACAAAGAAGGCGACTGTTTTAAGTATGTATGTGGCAATTCCCAGCTCTTTCAGGAGCGAAACTTAAAGAAGAGATTTTTGTTGAACCTTAGATTAGGAAATTTACTTCGGATAAACAGTTCGAAAAGACAAGGAGGAATGTTGCAAAAGAAGAGTGGATTGCCTTTAAAGATGTTTTTGTACATTTTTAGGAAACATCAAGGACCAAAATTACGAAAATATTGTCAATAACATGCTCGAAAAATTCAAAGAGTTTGGTTGTAATATTAACTTGAAAGTTCATTTCTTGCACTCACACATATTGACTATTTCCCTGAACATTTCGGTACCGTCAGTGAAGAAAAATGGGAAAGGTTTAAACAAGACATCAGGGAAATGGAGAGGAGGTGTCAGGGAAGGTGGAACACGAGCATGATTGCTGATTACTTCTAGTCATTGAAACAAGATTCTCCAGACGCAATACCACAAAGAAAGACCACAACATGTAGTGTTGAGACTAAAAGACATAGATTTCACACAAGAAACATCAAGATGATATTCGTTTGATATCAATGTTCTTCCCTTTTATTCAGTTTATTTGTGTTTTTGTTAACAAACATAATAATAAAAAATGTAAACCAAATAATAATTTAATCTAAGTAAGATTTGTAAAACATCCTTACGTGATAGAAAAAAAAACGAATATTATGTTCAAAATCTGGTGAATTATGAAAAACCCGTTATAACCAAAACAATTTTCATGTAGTTTAAATTCGCAAGCCTATGTTATATTTAACAGCTGTTTTGAATCATTTACACTTATTTTAATTGCGTTACACGCAGTAAATGATCAGTGAATAATGACGATTCTCTAGAACAATGTAGAATTAAGCTTATGGTGCAGTAGTGCAATATTGTTGAAATTTGTGGTATTATGAAGAAGAAACAGTGTCGCATCATTGTGCAATACCCAGTGGAAGAGATTAAATTACTTCAGGAGTTTCATTTAAAGAGGATGATTTTCCAAAATGTCTACTCCACTGAATAAGAAGTATATGGAGAATAAAAACAGAAGTTACGATATAAAAGTTATTCAATGCCTATCTCAAAGTCCAATTTACACTTTGTTAGCACCAGTTGAAAAATAGTGTTGTAAATTAGAAGCAAAGTAATGTGCGCCAACTTTGGGAGACTAGATAACAAAAACGGAAAGAAACACCACTTGATATATAATATAAGACAGTGGTGGTCATTTTGCCTGATTATTGTAGTTATTAGTTCTAGAAAGAGATCCACAAAATATTGATTATTCGGTTTGTATGGTTTCAATATGAACTTCTTATGCATAATAACGTATATTATGTACAAACACGACTTTTAGGCTAAATAATACTTCCTGCAACGCATTTCTTGAAAACGTGAGTGTTCCTATCGGTGCTCCTTGAGTCCAAATTACAGAAGTGTTCCTGCTGACACTTCTTGTTTTCTAACTACGGAAGTATACCTATGGACACTCCTTGTTTACCAAGATGTTTTTAATGACGATTATCACTTGGTAAGCAAGTAAAGTGCTATCCAACAATTTTCATTTACTAAACAAGGGAAATGTTTTTGCCAATGTTTATTAATTACTAATAAGACAAATGTTTTTGCCAATGTTTATCAATTACTAATAAGACAAATGTTTTTGCCAATGTTTATTAATTACTAATAAGACAAATGTTTTTGCAAATGTTTATTCATTACTAATAAGACAAATGTTTTTGCTAATGTTTATTAATTACTAATAAGACAAATGCTTTTGCCAATGTTTATTAATTACTAATAAGACAAATGTTTTTGCCAATGTTTATTAATTACTAATAAGACAAATGTTCTTACCGATATTTATCGTTTTCTAACATGAGATATGTTCCTGTGCTAGCAATCCTTTTTTGCCCTTATGTTTGTGTTCCTACATATACTTCTCAATAACATCAAGAACACTATTCCTACCTACACTTCTTGTGCACTAGGAAAATAACTGTTTCTATTACCGTTCGTTTATAAATAATTTAATGACAAAAATAATTAATAGGCCGGTTTTATCATTAGCTGCTAGTTAGATTTAAGATTGTCGTACGTTACCCGAAAAAGTACGACTCTATTTTAGTGTTTCATAAACTAAACTCTCACAGAACATTCGACCTTAACGCAGTGTATCTGTTGTAAAAGTAATGTTTTTTAACCCCATCTCTAATACTAAGCGAGATGTTCAGGATATGAAACATCAAGTATCAGTGCAAAGCCCCCCCCCCCCAGTGGCACAGCGGTATGTCTGCGGACTTACGACGCTAGAAACCGGCTTTCGATACCCATGGTGGGCAGAGCACAGATAGCCCTTTGTGTAGCTTTGTGCTTAACTACAAAGAACAACAACAACATCCGTGCAAAGTGGTTTCTATCATTTACAAAAAATAACCGTATTGGTGAAAAAATGTTTTCATTATTGATAACCCAAAAGCAATGTACATATAAGGTTGAATGTTATTTAATTACGATTATGATTTTTAAGTAATCAAATAAACGATTTTTATAAATCAATATATACATTATCTTAAATGTTGAATCAAATTAATTTCTTTCCTGAATTATTTTTAGTTCTTAGTCATTTTTCCCATGACAATATGAGAAGACCTTATTTAATTTTTTTTATAAGTACGAAATATCTATATCCAATGAAAACGAAACACGATACCAATGAAACATTTTGTTGCCATATTAACACATCACTTGTTTGTTATTAAGCGCAAAGCTACAAAACGGGTTTTCTGTGCTGCACACAAGGGGCATCGAAACCAAGTTTTTATCATCATAATCCTTCATACTTAGAAATGAGCCACTGGAGGGTGGGTGGATATTACTACGCCAAACAAAGTTTACTCACTGTAGTATTAAATAGTATTGTAAACGCTTCGTGGAAATGTATTTTAACTTGCAACTGCTTGAATCCTTAATCCTTTCTACGAAACGACAGAGGAAACAATGCATACATACCTGGTGCCTATTTGGGTACATCCTACACGAAGCTGTCAACGAGTTTTCTTAACTGAGATTAAACACAATGAGCTTGCTTTAAATATGTAGTGTTTACATAACACAAGTAGTGAAGCACTCTGAAAATCACTCTGTTACTAGAATTCACCAAAAAGATAACATTTTTCAAGACATACAGGTTTGATATTTTGGTTGAGTGTGACGCAATTGCTAGTCTGCATGACACGAAAATTCCGATATTTTGTCTGCTTGATTGTTACTGTTTGCAATACATTCACCAGCAACACTCTGGATTTCTGCATTCTAAGGTAAAAACCATCGGCCTTAACGACAAACTTGACACTTCTCTGTCACGGATTGAAACACTCCCCTGGGTTCGGCAGACTCTTCGCTCACACTTACACCCAATGAAACTCTGCGACACGAAAACAGCTAAGTAAAATAACCGTTGCTATAACAACCATGTTTTAGCAGCTGTCTATCTAACGCACGTGTCCTTATAGTTCCGCCCACATCTCGTCCTGTTTCATGTGATGATGAATCAATGGTGCTTGATCACTTCCCTTAAAACAACTGAGCATTATTCAAGCGAAATCCTTTGGAACGGAGACACAAAATATAGATTGTAAAAAGTAAAACTGCCGCTCACGCAGTTACAAAAGCTCTTTGTAAAAAACAAATATTTCTCATCCTCTGTATATTTTGGAAAAATGGTGTAGTTTAAACAAATCCCCTAGGTACTGGCAGCGAAGAATATACTAAAATGCTACCTTTGCAATCAAGCGAATATATACGTTAATTGCAGTTATGCACATAAAGGGGCACGAGGCTCAAGTAGCAGGACACGAACAGCTAGTAAAGGAAGAATATGTTTTCTAAGTAGCCAGTTAATGTATAAGAACAATAATTTAGTGTATAGGCAGTCCCTTTGTTTATCGCTTTCCCTAAGGGAAAAAGAGTAGTTTAAAACGTCAAGTAGACTTTCAATGACGGCGTAAAGAAGCTTTGTAGACGAAGTGGTCCTTTCTTAGTGGATTTTCATTGAGAAATGAGAGAGTATTAAAAGTGGGATTGCTCTCTCCAAGTGGCCATTCCGAAGAATGAAGAGAGAAACTTAAAGGAAAGATTGTTGGTTTTTTATGAATTTCGCGCAAAGCTACACGAGGGCTATCTGCGTTAGCCGTCCCTAATTTAGCAGTGTAAGACTAGAGGCAAGGCAGCTAATAAT